GTCATATATATGTAAGTCCCGTTATACTTATCTATTTATTGAAATATACATCAATGTTCATATATATATACGTTCCGTTATAATTATATTATGTTTTTAGGTCACCTGAGACAAAGTCTCAAGTGACTTATTGCGATCGCCTTTTGTCCGTCGTCCGTCGTCCGTCGTGCGTCCGTAAACAATTTACAGTGATGTATCCTTAAAAGTAGGCTCTATTAAGATAAGTTCATGGAACGTGAATCGAGGCCTTCATAATAAACTAACTGATCAAGGTTTTGTAGATATTGTGTCGAGCTCCGATATAATATTTTTATCGGAATGCTGGATAGATAAAAATAGCGATTTAGACTTCAGTAATTTTCAGGATGAGTTTAGCTTTTTTACATTCCCCCGTGAAAGGGGCAAAGGTGGAGGCCTTGTGCTGTTATATAGAGATGGTATCAATGCATCTATTGTTTCTTATGTAGCAGATACGCTTATTTGGGTTAAGATTAAGCAGTCTGTACACCCAGATATATATATTTGTTTTTCGTACATTCCGCATGATAACAATGTTTACTATACCTTGTATGAAACTGATATTTTTGATACCATAGTTAATGGCATCTCTCATTATTCACAACTGGGTACCGTCATCGTTGCTGGCGACCTTAATAGTAGAATAGGTAATGCGTGCGATTACATCGAGTCTGACAATGCACGTGCTCCAGCTATTCATTTTCTATCTGGTGTACTTGACTATGATGTCGATACTGTCATGCCTATCCGAGTATCTGCCGATCACACTGTGAATACGTTCGGCCGCAAACTTTTACAATTATGTAGAAGTACTGGGCTGCGAGTTTGTAATGGTAGAAAACCTAGTGATATCACTGGTAAACTCACTTTTTTTAATCATTTGGGTTCAAGTGTAATTGACTATGTTCTTATAGATAAAAATTCGTTTGATTTGATCACCGAGTTTAAGGTGCGCGATTTTAATGAATGGTCTGATCATGCACCCATCGATTTCAATTTACG